GCCCCCTGCCCGGCCGGGCGATGAAGTGTCACTATGAAGCGCTGGGGGTGCGGCGCGACGCCAGCGAGGAGGAGCTCAAGAAGGCCTATCGGAAGCTGGCCCTGAAATGGCACCCGGGTAACTACTCCGCAACCGTCGCAGCCCTTGCAAAAGCCGGGCCCCCGCCACCCTTCGCCCCCCTCTTCCCGGAATAACTCCGGGACCCTGGCCAGTCTCGACCTGCCCGCCCTGTAACTCCCCTCGCCCTGGGAACCCCGCCCGGGTCCCCGACCAGGTGCCCTGCGCAGTGCTCTTCCCGCCGGGCGTCCTCCTCGCCCGTCGGCGGGCGCATCCCTCACCCCAGGCTTCACTCGAGCCCGGGGCAGCCCGTCCCTCCCCAGACGTTCCCCTGCTCACCCACCCCGACGCTACCCGCAGTGGCACCTGATGGGGAGTACACATTCTAGCGACTTCACCCGCTCTTCCCACCCCTTCGCAGACACCACCGAAGGAGCAGGAGTCCTGAGCTCTCGAGTTTGGCCCTTGCTTGAGTCTCTGCCGCTCAACAGCCCTTAACTTCATCACGGAATCCCAGCTACCCAAGTGTAATTTATGGCCCCTTATTGAAATTAAGACAAAGAAGCTAGTAAACTGTCTTTTAAATAGCTGTGCTTCCCACCCCCTTCCCTTTCCCAGTAAGCTGTTGAAACACAGACCTCTGTACTCCACTTCGGATGTTTTGCAGATTGAAAGTTTTAATTGGGTGTCTTCCCCTAGGGAAGTTTGTATGTGTACTTAGAAGTATGCTTCCTTTGGATGTTTTAGTTGGTGGCAGTTCAGCCCTGTGTGACTTTTGTGAAGTAATCTGATCTTTCAGACTGGGAAACTAAGGCTGTAGTTGAATATCAGCTTTTTGAGGCTTATAAGAGGTTTACATATTAGCATGTTTATAGAATCTCTGCTATGTACAAGTCACCATAGTAAGGTTCTGAAATGCTAAGACATCTCTGGGAAAACATGCTGTAAACCACGAAAAGTTAAATACAAGTGCAAACAAAATAGCACAACCTACATAATTGGTAGTTGGGTTAATAAAACAACTAATAAATGCCCCAGGAATTCAGGGGAGGGAGTTTTCACTATGTCCTGAGGGGCAGCGAGGCTTCCCCTTGGCAGAGGAGCCTAGATGTTTAGCTGGATCCTAGCGAAATGGAATTTGGAAAAGTGAGCTTAAGAGTAGAGGGAAGAGCATCGTGGTGGACAAAAGGTGGTCCAGGTGACAGTTTGACTGATGGCAGTATTAATTGGAAATCTGAAAATACGGGTTGAGAGAAGAGCTGAAGGAAGGGCCTGGACCCAAAGTCAAAAGGTAATGTCTATAGTTGGTGGAACAAGAAATAAAGGTATGGGTTTGTTAAAGTGACGATTACCAACAGAGGAACTAAACAAATGTGATATATATCGGAAAGGAAGAAGTAAGTAAGCTAAACATTCATCACGGCAGGAAGCCAGTGGCTATATCCAAAATTAATAAATCCAAAAATAGTATAGAAACATATTCTTAGAGGAATGGGGGTTGTCATCAGAGATTGAGTTAGGAATTAGAAGGAAGTTAGGCATTCCTTGACTCTTCTGGCTGGGAAAGTGTGAGGAAGAGGATTAATGCTTGTGACCAAATGCATATATAATTTTGATGATAATATGAAGATGTTTTTGAGTGTAGTTTTAAGATTAGATTGTAAAGGGTCTTGAATGTTAGGCTAAGGACTGTGAAATTTGTATTTCCAATAAGGGAGGGTCGAAGATGTCTTGATGTGATACTGTGGGGGCGGCTGAGTGGATTGAAGAGGAACGGGGACAGAAGTCAGGTAGCGTCCACCATGGCAAGGAAGGGCCCACACCGGGCTGGGGGTCAGTGGGAGGGAAGGGCAAGGCCGGGTTGAAGAGATGCTATGAAGGAAAAATGATCAGATTTGGTGATTAATTGGAAATCAGTGCAAGGAAGGAAGGAAGAAGTATGTAAACGTTACTAAAACATCAGTTAACTATTTTGAAACCAAACTGGTTAGAAACGAAATGTGAATGTCTTCTCTGAATGTCATCATAAATCATAACATCCTAAATATCTTTTGGTTTGAAGATGCCTGTACATTTAAAGGATACATACTCTACAGGCGACACATGATTTTGATATATTTTGCTGTGCTAGCTTGTTAAGTCCAGCAGTCAGCAAATGTTTAATTCATTCTATGTGCAAGGTCCTGTGTTAAATGTTTCTGAGGTTAACATAGGGGCTTTGCTTCAAAGAATAATTTGAACTTCAAAAAGAAAGGCTGCTCATTTTTCATTGTTAAAGGTATTTCTTTGTTTTTTGGTTTTTTTAATTAGCAACTGAAAATAATTTTCAGTAGGGTCAACATTACTTCCTAGTGAGATCACTCCTTATGAAAGGAAGGCTTTTATTTGATGACTGCCGTGAGCACTTTACTGTGTGAATGAGACAGGAATGGTCCCTGCTCTGCGGCCATGTAGAGTCATCAGGGAGTCCCAGGAAAACAGGTAGTTTCAGTCTGGTGAGGGATAAGGGTGGTATGAAGGCAAGTACAAGATGCTTATGAGCACACGTGCCTGACCTGGACTGGGTTTCTGTGTGGGTGGGATAGATGTGCATCCCTGAAGAAGTGACCTCTAAGGCAAGACCAAAAGCCAGAAAGAAGGGAGTACAGGTGGAGGGAGGCCAGACAAAGCATGACAGTGCAGGAAGGGCAAAGAGGGGAGCATGACCAGGTAAGCATAAGCCAGGTCTGGGAAGTTGGGGTAAACTGGATGAGGTAGATTGGATTTTAACCTAAGGGCAGTGGGAAGCAGGGGGAAAGATAGGTTTTTGTTTGTCAGGTATCTCTCTGGCCATGTGGGAGAGAGTGGATTGGAGTAGGCAAGACTGGAAGTAGGGAGACCAGGAGGTCAGAGTACATTCAAGTCACCATGATGACCACAGGACCTGGGAATGGAAACTCCTGAGTCAAGTGCCAGAATTCTCAGTGAATTAAGGGGGAGTGGTTGAGTGATGTGATGGGCTTTGGTGGCATTCACCTTATGCCCTAACTCAGCCCAAAGTCAGTGAGAAGGGGAAGAAGGTGGGGTTGGCCAATGGTATGAATCTGGAAGGAATGCTAGTGTGCCCTTGGGGGTGAGTAAAGGACCAGCAGGTAGGAGGACGCCAGCTCCAGCCCCAGACCTGCCATATGAGGGCTGTGGCTGAAGGAGCCCAAGAAGGAAGCCGTGCAGGGAAGTGGTGCTCTCAGAGAGCCTGGCTTCAGTCAAGGCAGGACTTAAAAGGCTCAATCCATGGAATTTTCCAGAAGGCACTGCAAAAAAGTTTGGGAGGGAGTAGAAGAGTGTGTGAGTGGATTGAGAGAAAAGCACGAAGAATAGTGTGAGAATGCCTTTTAGATTTTGATGACTGGATTTGCAATACCTGTGGCCTTTGTGTGTGGCTAATAATAAATGTGGGCTTTTTGTTTCTTTATTATTGCTTTTTAACTTACTTCACTTTTTTTTTTTTAAGATTTTTATTTATTTATTTGACAGAGAGAGAGACAGTGAGAGAGGGAACACAAGCAGGGGGAGTGGGAGAGGGAGAAGCAGGCTTCCTGCCGAGCAAGGAGCCCGATGTGGGGCTCGATCCCAGGACCCTGGGATCATGACCTGAGCCGAAGGCAGACGCTTAACCGACTGAGCCACCCAGGCGCCCCTTAACTTACTGCACTTATGTGTTTAGATCTCAGTTTAACATTATAGTCAACCAGTTCAGGTATATTTAAGTGAAATAAGCCATATGACAGACTCAAAAACTTATTTAAGAAAGACGCTTTAGTAAGAGGCTAGATCTTATTTTCAGCTGGTACATTGATGGGCTTTCTGCGTTTAAAAGCTTGAGCTTTCTCCAAACTTCTTTGGAGGAGGAAGGAAGGGTGTGGGAAGAAACAGGACAACGAAGTACAGTACTGATTAAAAGGTGAAGAAGAACCACCCACATACCTCCCCCAGTCACCTTTTTTGTTTTATGTGGGAAGATTTATTTGCTGGCGTTTTCTGCCATTCTGCCTTAATTGGGACTCTGCTTTTTTATTTATGACAAAGTTTATGAATGATTTGATGAAGATGTAGAAATCATGAGTATTTTTGAATCATGAAAGCTGTAGAAATCATGACTCTCACCTTGAAGGCATATCTGGACTGTGTTCAGCTGCATGTGACAGGAAGGTGGCGACAGTAACTAAACCAAATAGTTTTATTTTTCTCACCTAGCAAGAAATCCAGAGGGGACTCGTCTTGGTAGCTCCAGCTCTTGATGAGACCATCAAAGACCTCCGTTGTCCTGATCCTAAGGCTTGAGCGCTCGCACCAAGTGTAAGCAAGTAAGCCTCAGAGCTCAAAGTTTCTTGCTCTCACGTCGAGGTGCAGAGACAGGCAGGCGAGCAGCTGTGTAGCAGTTCTCCTCCAGGAGGCCTGTGGACTCTGCTCGGCACCTTTCAGGTGGGCCCTCACTTACTGGCCAGCGTGGCCGTTGGGGGTCCCAGGGAGCAGAGCGGAGGAGGAAAAGGATAGCGCAGGCACAGAGAGTGCGTGCTAGTTGCCTTGTAAGGAAGTTCTTGAAAGCAGGCATGGAACATTCTTACAGGTGTTACACATCAGAGCATAGTCCCAGTCATGCGAAGCTTCAAAGGAGACAGAAATGGAGGCTTTATAATGGGACCAGGTGCCCACCACAAAGTCAGGTCTCGCTTGTTCCTGGAAGAAGAGAATAAACTAGCAGTCTCTGTCTCAGTCCTCATAATCACTTGTAGGCTTTATACCCTGACTTTGGGCTGAGGTAAGGCCATAAGGTGAGTGCCACCAAAGCCCATCTCTTTCATATGGAAAATACAATTTTTCCTGGGCAGTTTCACTTGGTAGGTGTATGCTTCTCTCTCATTGGCTAAAACTGGGTCACCTGATCTCCCCAACCTCAAGAAAGTCTGGGGAGGTGAATTTTTTAGCTGGGTACATTACTAATGTGAACAAAATCAGGATTTTGTTAGGAAGAAGAAGAGACTAGACACTGGGTAGGCAGCTAGTAGTATCTTTCACAGAGTGGGGATCAAAATTTAAAATAATTGCAACAGGGCACTGAGTGTCCTGTATTACCTAAAACCTGATTGCAACAGGGCCACAACGAGATGGAATTTGGTAGTATTAGTTGGAAATAACAGAAAACCTAACCAATAAATAAAGGGTTTTTTTTCTCTCTCTCACCGCAAGAAGGTTTGGAGGTAGGTGCCTGCTGGCATTGTTCCTTAATATCACTGAATCTCTTGGCTTTTTCTTCACAGTCTCAAGATGGCTGCTGAAGCGCCAAACATCATGTCCACATGCAAGACAAGAAGAAAGAGGAAGGAAAGAAAATACACTAATAGACTTCTGCTGACCTCCTTATTGATCAGAGCTGTGTCATATAGCCATTCCTAGCAGCAAGGGAGGCTGGAAAGCAAGTCCTTGAGCTTAGCCTCCACAGTAGAGGCTGCAAGAGAAAAGGGGAGAGGTGTTGGATGAACTAACCTTCAATGTCTGCCACAGAATGGATCCAGAGCTCTATCAGAGTTTTTAAAAAGTCCGTTATATAGTTACCACTTGGCTTGTCAGTATGAATGAAACTTTGTCAGCTGTAAATTCAGAATGATGTAACGTGATGCTGTTGTGGAAAGTTAACGTAATGAGCTCTAGTGATTAAAAGTAGAGTGTGAAGAAGAGGAAGTAATGAATGGCTCCTTGATTATTGGTGCCTGTTTCTGACTGCATTAGAAGTAGAGGATTATGGTGTGTCATGAGAAATGGGAATATTTAGTCCCGGGGAAAGGTGGACTTTGAGATAACCATTGGCTGTCTTCAGAGGGGCTGCACTGTGGACGGGGATTTAGACTGGCATTGTATTACTTGCCATTTACAGCTAGGCTGCGGGGATGGAAGAGTTTTTTTCTTTTGATTTAAAGTTACCATGATTCTAAAATGATATTGAAAGCTTTTTAGGTTAAAGCATCTTAGTAAAGAGAGCTATGGCAAATTGCTGCACTAGAGAAAGTATTGTCCGTGATAGTGGTCGAGCAGAAAATCGCCTGAAGGACTGGACACCCAATGTGATGGTACCTAAAAAGAGGAGGCAGGATGCCTTCAACGGTCTTGTTCTAAGGCTGCAAGATTATTCCTAGGGAATGTGTTTCTGTCCTATTTTTCCTCTGGCCTCTTAGAGGGCAAGTATTGAGTTGTAGCTTATAAGATTTTGGTATGCTCCAGAGTAGATTGAAAATATTTTACTTTCTGAGTATATTAGGTATCTATCGGTACATAACAAATTACCAAAAACTTAGGGCTTAAACCTATGAACACAGCAAACATTCATTATATTGGACTCAGTTTCTGAGGATCAGAGTGTGGGAGTGGCTTAGCTGGGTGGTTTGGGCTCAGGGTCCCTCATTGGGAAAATCCGCGTTTCAGTCTCTTTCACATGGTAGTGGCAGGCCTTATTTCCTTGCTGGCTGTGGGCCAGAGGCCTCTGTTCTTCTCCACGTGGGCCACCCGAGTGTCTTCTTGCTGTGGCAGCTGGCTACTCCCAGAGTGATCCAAGAGAGCGAGAGCCCAACATGGAAACTGCAGCCTTTTATAAACTAATCTCAGAAGTAATTTAGCGTGCCATCATCATTTCTACTGCCTGCTGTTGGTCACACAGACCAACCCTGGTGACCTATGAAGGGGCTCCACAGGGTGTGAATGCCAGGAGGTGGGGATCCTTGGGGGCCATCTTGGAAGCTGCCTACCTCCCTGAGGCAGAGATGCTCTCTGATTCATAGTTAAGGAAGCACAGCTAAGAGAAGAATAATTAGTATATATTTTTAAAGCTTTTTGAGATTTATTTTGGTCTATGTTGATAAAAAAGAGAAAACATAAAGACCATGCGAACAATAAACATAATTGAGCACTAAATAGTAACAGTTCTTCTGTTACTGATTTGATATATATATTTTGCTTTTTCTAAAAATAAAATGTATACTACTCAGGGTTTTCCATTTGTGGATATCCAGATTGCACCCAGGGTCCTGGGTGATGCACCAAGGCTTAGGGGAAAGCATGCAATTTCTACTCAAGTAGTTACTTCTCACATACCCTGATTATCAACTCTCACCAGGATCTCTTTGCTTTTCCCTGATTGTTTTTCTTTGTTTTGTACACTCCTCATCTATTTATGGCATTTGTGATGGAAGAGGTCCCTTTTAGATTCTGTCCTCTACCTGTTTGATGACTGAATATCTGTGACTTTATTTTAACAGATAAAAATCTGGATAATGCCGCAGAAGCAGCTGAACAATTTAAATTAATCCAAGCAGCATATGATGTGTTGAGTGACCCTCAGGAAAGAGCATGGTGAGCATCACACTGTCCCTCCTATCTTAGTGTATTTTGTTGGGAAGAATTATCAATAGAAGGTCTAAAAAAATGTATATTTGTCAGATGTTTCGGTGTGTTCTGAGGTATCTGTCACCTATTCATTATAGAAAATGCAGTATTATAAACATCGGGGTGCACGTACCCCTTCGGATCCCTACATTTGTATCTTTGGGGTAAATACCCCGATGTTTATAAGAGCAATGTCCACAATAGCCAAACTATGGAAAGAGCCAAGGTGTCCATTGACAGATGAATGGATAAAGAAGATGTGGTGTATATATACAATGGAATATTACACAGCCATCAAAAGGAATGAAATCTTGCCATTTGCAACGACATGGATGGAACTGGAGGGTATTAGGCTGAACGAAGTAAGTCAATCAG